GATTGGTGCACTCTTTGTTCTGTTCAAACAAGTGCTTACTGGTCGGAGTACAGGTTATGCATGAACACAATTAAGTGTTCTGAAACCGTCATTCTTCTCATATTATCCATAATGTATTATGATACACACAATCAAATGCTTTTGCAGAGTCAATAAAACACAAACATTACTCTTGTATCCTCGGCTTTCAGCTAAGGTCCATCTGATGCCAGCAATGCTATTTCTTGTTCCACAGCTGCTTCTGAATTGTTTGAATTTCTTTTTGTTTTATTTATCAATTTTAATGAAAGGTTACATTACAGAGAAATTCAGTTTGAATTTCCGACAAGTTTCCTGTCTCGTTACTGTTCGAGTTGTTTACAAATTATCCTTACAGCAATATTTTATTCGAATGTGATATTAATGATAATGTTTAATAATTTATGCACTCTGTTGGGTGACAATCTTTTGGGTATATGTTAGGAATGGAGTTGCTGAGTCACACAGTAGTTCTATTTGTCATTTCTTTTAGCAGCTGTCACATTATTTTCTATCAGAAGTGGATAAGGATATTAATTTCTCATTCTCACCAACAGTTTTTATTTTTTAGGTCCCCCGCAACCCCCCATCAAATAGCAACTGACTTGTAGCTGATCCTCCACTGGGTTTTCAAAGGCTGTAAATTCCATAGGAATTAACTATTTCTCTTTCTCCCTAAAAGCAGCTGGTGGATTTGAACTGCCTGCCTTTGGGCTGGGAACTCAACTACTCATCCCAGTGGGAGTAAATGGTATCTCACTGTAGTTTAGCTTTAGCTAATAACTTCTTGTCATGTGTTTGGTGGACATCTAATATTTATTTTTATTACATTCTTTTTCTCTAGGCTATTAAAGTAGGAATTTCACTTAGTTTTACTTTCATTTTTGTTTGAAAAATATATTAAACTTTTCATTATCACTTGGCTGAAAGTTTACAGAGCAAACTGGCTTTCCAGTCAGCAATTCACACATACTGTTTTATGACAGTGATTATAATGCTCACATTATAACACCACTTCCTTTTTCCCTACCCCCGTGTTTTTTTATCCTTCTTTCTTATCTCTGAGCAAATGTTGCCCATGTGATCATGCAAGGTTGACTGTTCTGAGTATACTACTTTCTGGTGTTAATGATCATCTTATAGGCTTGTCGACTGTTTGGCTGAGTGTGAATACTAAATATGCACCTGTAACCTTTTAGGGCCAGCAAGACTTGCTGCAGTACTGCTGTAGTACATGCTGTGCCACTGCCTTATCAGTTCTGTATTTTGTCTGAAAAGGATGACAATATGAGGTGATTGCTGTATATGTGAGAATTGTATCCCTTCACCAACTAGAAGCAGCCACAGAAGAAATCAAGCCAGGAAGAACTCCATAAATAATTAGTTCCTACCACTGGGCCAACTGGCAGCATCAGTACGGATGGTGAAGAGATTGAAACAGTGAACAGTTTTAGTTTACTTGGTTCCACAGTTAACACTCTTGGTAACAGCAGTCAGGAAATCAGGACACAAATTGCATTGGCAAAGTCAGCTGTCAGGGACCTCTCAAGAGTACTGAAGAGCAACAACGTCAGGCTGGAGACTAAGGTGTGCCTGATCCAGGCTATAGTCTTTGCAATTACATGCTATGCATTGGAGAGTTGGACAGTGAATAGGGATGATAGAAAGAGAATTGATGCCTTTGAGCTGTGGTGTTGGAGAAGAGTGTTGAATATACCATGGACTGCTAGGAGAACAAACAGGTTTGTCCTGGAGAGGGTGAAGCTGGAATGCTCCTTGGAGTCAAGGATTCTGAAGCTTCATATGACATACTTTGGGCATGTTGCAAGGAGGGACTGGTCCTTGGAGAGGGACATCATGTTTGGGAGAGTGGAGGGACGGCATAAGAGAGGAAGACACTGGATGAGATGAATTGATTCTGTGAGTGGAGTGGTTGGGAATGAGTGTGTTTTAGATAGCGAGGTTGGCACAGGATAGAACGAGAGGGTTGCTATGAGTCGCAAGCGACTCGATGAAACATAACAACAACAACAACAACAACAACAACCCCTAGACTGACACCTTTCCTTACTGAGGCCAGTCAGGCGGCCTGCTGTTGTTTCTTTGACAGTGTATTGAGCTTAAGAAACTTTTCTGTCCTTGCTTATTCCTTGTGTTCTGTGGCAAACCTCTGAGGAAAGCTCTTTGAGGCGTGTGATCCTGGAAAATACAAGTGAGTGATCAGGGCTTTAATATTTACTCTTTAGACTGTTGAAAATATTTTAACATTTACAAGTGTTCAGGTCTTTCATTCACAGGGTCACTATGAGCCGACTATGACTCAATGGCACTTAACAACAACAACAACATAGAGCTCTGTGGGCCTAGTGGATAGAAAGTTATGCTACCAAGCCAAAGGTGGTGGTGGTTGTTAAGTGCCGTCGAATCGCAGGTGACTCATAGCGACCCTATGAAGGAGAGTCTTTGATGCTTGGGTGCCTTTCATCCTCTCTCCAGGGTCATAGGGTTACCGGCGGCAAGCTATTATGAAAGTGGATGCCATTCCTCCTTCCAAGCTTGTTTTAATCGGGGAGCTCCACCCCACTCTCTGTCTGCATAAGCCAAAGGTAGGTGATTTTAATCTGCAGTCCTCACGCCTAGTTTTGTTTTTTGTTAAACATTCAGGGTTAACTCGTGGTTGCTGTGATGCTGAACACTATGACACTGATATGTCAAATGTGATAATGGTTACCCATGCTGGACAGTGTTTGGTGAGCTTCTCGATTAAAACAAGCTTGGAAGCAGGCGTGTCATCCACTTCCAAAATGGCTTGCCTCCAGAAACTGTATGAACTTGAAGAAACGACAAAAGTTATACAACTGTTCTGGTTTTTCGTTCATAGCGTTGCTATGAATCATCTACGACTCAATGGCACTTAACAACAACAGCAACAACACAGAAAGGGCTCTGCTGGCTTAGTCGATAGGAAGTTATGCTACCAAGCCAAAGGCAGGTGATTTTAATCTGCAGCCGTAAGGCCTGGTTTTAACTTTTTTTTTTTTGGTCAAACATTCTTCTACTGTGGTATAGCACTGTCTGTCCATTGCTATACAGAGGTAACTCGGAGTTGCTGTGATGCTAAACACTGTGACACTGATGAGTCAAATGCGGTAATGGTTGTCCATGGTGGACAGTGTTTGGTGGAGCTACCTGATTAAAACAAGCTTGGAAACAGGAGTGGTATCCACTTCCAAAATGGCTTGCCTCCAGAAACTCTATGAATGTGGAGAAACAACGAAAGTTATACACGTTTATAGGGTCACTACGAGTCGTCTATGACTCGACAGCATTTGACAACAGCGACCATAACATACATTTAGCAAGACGGAAAATGTATTTTTTTAAATCTTCAATAATTTAAAATTATAATTTTGAGATTTATCCATGTGGATATGCCTAATAAATACATTGTACTAGTTTACCCACTTAAATTACAATACTGGAATTCAGGAATAAATAATTTTTCACTTTGATAATTATAATTTATCACTGATAAAAAGTACTATTATGAAAACCCAATGCACATACATGATTCTCATGCATGAATTTCTGTTTAGACAGCAAGAAGTAGACTTTCTGAGTCACAGTATATGTGCATCTAGTACTTGTTTCTGGAATGTCCTCAAAGACCCCATTAACTTACACTCCACTGAGGATCTTTTTTAAGTGCTGAAGAACAAGGATGTAACTCTAAGGACTAAGGAGTGCCTGACTGAAGCCACAGGGTTTCCAGTCACCTCACATGCACGTGAAAGGTGGACAATCAATACATTTACTCACTTGTTCAGTAAAGTGTGGTGCTGGTGAAGAAAATGGAATATATCACGGATTTGCAAAGGAACATACAACTCTATCTTGGAAGAAGTATAGCTAAGAATATTCCTTAAAGGCAAGAATTGGGAATCACTGTCTCACACACTTTAAGGACAGGAGGGAATGTCCCTGAAGAAAGATAATCATGCTTGGATCCTTCCTAAAAGCAACAGGCCAGTGAAAAAGATGAAGGTCCTTAACTACAAAAACTGGTTTCAGTGTATCAGAGATTGGAAGGATGTGTGGTATTGGGCAGTATTTTGTTTGGCTCAGGGTTGATTCGATAGGCCCAAATAAACAAAATCTAATATGTTTTCATTCCCCTACTTTCTTGTCATCACATGTAAGGCATTTCTATCCTTTTCATTTTTAACAAACTTTTCAATAATAACTGAACTACTTAGAGGCAAGTCACCAAAGTCAATCCATCCCATTAGGGTCTTCTGTTCCTTTGCTGGCTCTCCATATTTCCAAGCATGATGTCCCTTTCCAAGGAACAGCCTCCCCTAGCAACATGTCCAAAGCATGAAAGATGACGTTTCATCCTCTTTATTTCCACAAAGTACTCTGGCATCACCTTCCCAAGACATATCTGTTTGTTCTTTTGATTGATGGTACATGGAATATTCAAAATTTTCCAACACAACTCAAAGGCATCAATTTAAGTAGCACTTATAGACTGAATTATTGTTGTACATTTTGCAAGTATTTAATGACTGAATCTTAACATTCTAGTTTTAAGAATATAAACTAATTTGATGTTTGTTTTCTGTAGGTTCAATGCATGAGTGAACACAGTTATATAGCTAGAATACCCTATGGTGGTATCTGTTCAAACTGATTTAAGGCAAGGACTAGACATCACCAGACTAGTCTGTAGAATGCTGCCAGAAAAGCAGTTGCTGTTACAATGTTGAGAATTTTATATATTCTTTACTCAATGAGACATTTTTCTTTAGTTCTTTTTCCCCTCACCCTTTAGTTCTTAACACAAAAAGCAACACTCCTCTTGACCCCTGGATTCCTCTTTAGTGACAGGCATTGTCGAACTTAGTTCCTTGGTTAGGTAATAGAAGGCTAGCACAAAACACAAAGTCCATCTGCAGGAAATGATGACCTAGAAGTAATAATTTTTCCTCTTGTGTATCTTATCTGCTTTATTTAAGCCACCTAATAGGAAATGTTTATAATGAATTCACAATATTAATAAAAATAATGTTCCACCATCAACTTGGTATTTTTTCATAAATAAGAACAAAAATGTGTCTATCCTATAGTGATTAGAAGCGATATTGTTACCATCACGCAGATGCTTACCTTTTCTGCTACTTCTCGTACAGATTGAACACTTGTTCCATACAAATGGTTGTTATATTGGCCAGCTTCAATGAATTTATGTTCTTGAATATCTTTTTCCATCTGTTCTCTTGAAGTGACAAAATGATAATCTCTTCCATCTACCTCATAATCTCGCTTTGGTCTAGTTGTATCTTTAATAAAAAATAATTTGGGAAAATGTTTAATATTTAAAGAAATACATTTTCTACATCAACTGTTTTTTGGTGATGGTCACCATAACAGATTCATTTCAAGTAGAAAAAATATAGTAAAATGAAGGATAAAGGAATAACTTAATATAAGAAAACAGAAACCAATGGAAATAGAAGTATTTATTTCTATGACTAATAATGACAGAGAATAATATTTAGAATAGAAAAAGAAAGTTATTTGGGTTACTCACGAGGTACACAAGATCCAAATTTGTCAGGAAATTCTGAGATCAAGTCATCATTTATCCTGTCTTTCATAGGTCCCAATATGATCACTGGTCGAGTATAATTAACTATAAAGACAAATGGAAAGAATATCCAATAGATTCCAATGTATTTTGTTTCATTAGAGAGTAAAAATATTCTTAATTTTTTCCTACCTTCTACCACTAACTAAAGATATCTAATTTACTCATCTTTGCTAACATCTCATATTTAAGCTGATTTTGTTTAATCTCTCTCTTGCTATCACTGAGTTGGATACTACTTATAGCCAACCCTCCATTGAGTTTCTGAGGCTACAACTCTTAGGAGAGGAATTTGCCCACCTTTCTCCCAAGAGGCCTTTTATTGAATCAAATGGTTTAGAAAAGCACAGCCCTGGGCTTGTGAGAGCTGCTTCATGACGGATGACACCAACAGAACCCTCTCAAACACTTGATACTTCAGCTAAATTACATTCAGCATTTTAACAAATTATTTTTCTATGTTGTTAACATCATCTCATTATGAATGAAAACAAAATGTATACTGTTTATTGATATGTATGTATCCAGGTAAAAATTACAGAGAAAAGAAAAAGAACAAACTGGGCACAAGAAGGAATGTAATCACAGCAGTATTCTAGAAAGATGAGCTAATAAAATATGGGTTTGCAGGGGATCATCGTGGCAGCCAGGGAGAAGGGCAATAAGGTTTAAAAGCTTGAGATAAGAGGGATTAACAGGTCACAAACAGGTAGCATAAGTAGACCCAGAAAGACAAAGAGATGAGGAACAGAGAAAAGGATGCTTCTAAGATTTTGAAGATGGGTCACTAACAGGACAGTGGTACTATCAATGAATGCTGAAAAGAAACTGTTTAAGAACTGACACAATAATATAAGCAGTTTATCATCTAGACATTTTTATATACTGTGGGTTAGACCATGTTTCACAAAAACATCACAAATGGTAAGGTTCTAATACAACTTTACTTTTAGGTAGAAGTTAGACCCATTTCCCAAACTACCTAACTATATTTTTTAAGAACATTATAAAACATCAACATGCTTCACAAACCTTCTTGCTGATTCACTGGTTCATAAGATAAAACATACTCTTCTTGACCACCTATTAGAAAGTTAAAATACAGGTAAGAAAATATACAAAGATAATTAGGGCTAATTCTTCATATATAACATCTAAATCATTAGGGTATTTTTGAGAAAATGTCAAAGACATAGGAAAAGTTATCTGATATAATATTCATGAAAAATTCAGTAAAGTAAGTTCAAAATTATAGTCATAAAATGGGATAAGTGTAAAATTAAAATATATTTATCTTGTAACTTGCTTTATGTTATTCTGTTTGACACATTACCACCAGATCTACTTAAAAAATTTTCATTTGTACCATCCAGCATGTACTTTCAATTTTTTATTTATATGTGTGTAGGTATTTCAAGAATTTAAAAAATCTTTAAAATATTTTAAATAATATTAATGAGCATTTATTATACATTATTACAGGCAATTGACTACTGCCAAGATTGAACTGGTTGGTGATTTTTGTGGGTACCATAATGATTATATTTTATTTTAAAATACAATATAATACAATTAGAAATCAGAGTTCAAGCATACTTGGCTGCTATTCAAAAGGCTGGAGATTTAAGTTCACCTGGAAGAGAGGCCTGATGATGTACTTCTGAAAGTCTATGGAGCACTGTTCTACTCTGACCACACTGGCTCAACACAATTCAGTACTGATTTAGTGGTTTTAACTTGATGGTACACAACAGTGCAATTAAAAGTAATACATGCAAAGGTAAAATTACTGTCTCTAGCCCACAGATTAAAAATTTGAAAATTCGAAGAAATTATTAATTTATCTCTTCAGTAAGTATAACTAGTTAAAAAAGACAAGGTAATGATGGGCAAAGTCCAGTGGTGATTAATTTTATAAAATATACTGCATGAGAATGATGGTATGAAACACATATGAATGAAGAATAGTGTGAAACATAATGTATACAAACTTTGCAAGCAAACCAATTAAAAAAAATTCATGAGGTAAAAAGAGCTTCAGATAAAATGACATCCTTCTGTCCCATCTAACAATATCAATCACAGATAGTGAGGGAGGTGACATTGTTTTGATCTTAACAGCACTTTGGATGTTAAATAAATCAGTTACATATATTTAAAGATTCAATTAAAAGTTTAGAGTTTAGGAAATATTCTGAATAAAAATGTTCACAAATTATATTTCTGACTTAGTGAAAACAATATAGTTGAAAACTCCAGTATGTAAACACCACAACCCACCCTCTTCCCCTTCCCCACTTATGTCTGGGAAAACAATTAGGAAAGACTATGTTCATTAAGTAGTTCAATGAAAGTAATCACTATTAGATAACATATTTGAAGATATTCTCCTGGATTATACAAAAGTTACTAGAAACAATTTCTCCACTAAATTTGTCTTTGATTGCTATTTTATGTTTTCAGTTATACAGATCTTCTAAATACATGTAATGTAATAAATATATTCTGCTTAAACATTTATTTTATGGTTTTCAAATTTATTACAGTATATAAACCAGATATTTTACAAATTGGTTTTTAAAGAATCACTGTAAAAGATGGGTTACATAGTAGTAAAAACATGCAATTTAAATATTCCACATTTTAATTCAGTCATGCAAATGGAGAGAGACAGTATATACTTTTAAAACCTCTCTTCAGTCTAGAAAGTCACTCAATTACTCCAGAAATGATTCTGGTTAGAATTAATAAAATGCTGAAAATTCAAAGAATAATATTTCATACCAAACTCTGCACCCCAACAAACCAAGCTAAGTATTTTGTTGTTGCATGTACTCAAGTAAGGACTGATTCATAACTGACCCTCCAGCTGGTTTTTAGAGGCAGTAAACAGAATGGCAGTTGACTGGCCCTATTTCTCCTAGGGAGCAGCTGGTGGATTTGAACCACGTACTTTTGCATTAGCCTAATTCCTTACTACTAGACCACTAGAGTTCCCTTTATATTATGTAGAAAAACAGATCACAAGCAATCAGATAAATGAGGACTAAAAGTATATATTGTCAAAATGAAAAAATATTAGAGATTGATATTGATACTAACAGGATGGACCTTTTGAACAGTCATACTCATCTGTAATCAAGATTACTTTCATATTAGACAGCAGTAAAAAGAAGTTAGAAAATAATTTCAATTTTATGATGCTACAATCGATATTTATGTCACCTCCCCTCCTCCCATCCAGGTCAGGTAAAAAAAAAAACTTCACATGCTTGTATAATTCACTTAATAATAAAATATCAGGAGTATAATATAAAACACTGATTGGCAAAAGAAAGCAAAACGAATGTGTTAACAACTTGAAAATGTCTACTTCACAATTTCTTAAGTTCACCAAGTCCTGGTAATAAACAATAACATAACTAAAACTAGTCTTGGAAAAAATAGAAAAAGAAAAATAAAGCAATTTATAATTTCTAAAAATTTTTAATGTTCATGTTAAAAAATGGCAAAATATAAGTGTTTCCCTTTAACTTGATATTTACTCTATTTACTCATTATAAAAGATAAGCATGTACACACAAGTATTCTGTACACGAACAGTAGTATTTTAAGAATCTTATTAAAATTCTTTTTAAGTAGAGCATTTTATTTGGCTTTTCTTGATTTTAAAATATTAACATTTCATTTTCAGTTTTTAGAACACATGAGTAAGAAAAAAAGAAACAAACAAACAAAAACCACTACAACTATACACTCAAAACAACTGAAGACTTTTGAAATTACTATCTGAGATTACAAAAGAACAAATGAAACACTTACGGTAACTACTTTCACTATCGCTGGCATTAGAAGTTACATGCTCTGAAATTCAAGACAATGGAAAAAATAAGAAAAACAAAGAATAATGAGTTTAAAAAAAGAAAACTGATAAAAGTAAATTATCAAAATAAAATCAAGTTGACATTACAAAACGTTGAGATATAAATCACATATAACCAAAGAACTTGAAAAAGTATTTTTTATTTTCTCTGAAAAATTTAGTTAGGAAAAACCCTGTAAATAATATATTTCATTAACAAAATCTATATTATAAATAGCATGTAGAATATGACAAAAAGGGATAAAGTAGTCTTAAATTAAATCAACTGTGGACATAAAACCTGAAGAGAGAAAATACAATGGGCACTATTTATCAAATAGTAATGACTGATAATGGAGACTAGTTTATTTGAGCAAATGTCCATTTTGTGCAAGAATTTTAAAAAATGAAAATAAATAGATGATACTGCTTTTAGACCAGCTACTTTCTTATTTCTTGAAGTGAAATGAAAATCTGTGCTTCTGAGATTATGGAGATAAAAACTCAGATGCCTACGTAAATAAAAAAAGCTTTCTGGAGACTCAAGATGTGTTTGAAAACATACTAACAAAAGAATTTTTAAATAGAAAATTATTTTAAAATAAATTACTGTCATTGTGAAGAATAAGTTATAATCTGCAAAAGCAAGATATAATTTTCTTAATCATGATTGCTGTAGTGTTAGCCTAAAACAAGTTGGCTTTTTTTTAGCCATTACAGTTAGCTTCTTCTGGTCTCCAGCTACCTTAATTGCTTAAAGGCACATGGTCTTGCAAATCATCAACAGCTGTGGGACAAGGATAAGACAAAGAGTGCATTTTCACATACAGGGCAACAAGACTTGAAGGAGACTAGCGAGAAGACAGTCTGCAAGAGAAGACAGTCTGAAGACCCTGTTGGCGAGACCCTGGTGATAGTGTTGGGGAGACTGTGGCGTTGCTGTGGAGAAACTATGGCAAGGTGTAAGCAGAGGAGTCCAGAGATAAAGGTCACAGTTAAAGGTGTTTGCTATTCTTGCTGGATCCTTGAAGAAGGTGATTTATAACTTGTTAAACACTTGTGCGCTTGTGTGCTTAGAGATAAACCTTGCTGGAAGATAAGAATTTGACTGCTGAACTGAAACCAGAGCCTGGATTAATTGAGGATTTGTGCCTTGTAACTTGTGAGATATTTTCTGTCTTTTCCACTCTCCAACTTCCTTCCCTAATAAACCCCATTGCTGGTACCACAACTGTTAAGTCAGCAAAGAATAAACGAACCTCTTAACCTTTTGCTGCTGGTATGGATCTAGAGGCACCATGGGGCTGGGCCAAAGGCTCTTTATATGCTTTCTGCTCTGGAGCTGTGCTATTCTTACTCTCTCTGGTCCTTCTGTTTTCTCCTTTATAGGAAACTGCACATATTTTAAATAAAACAAGCACTTTAAAATTGCAAGCAGGACTGAATAATCCATATCAAGCATATATAAAATGCTGTTGTGAAAAATATTTAAAAGTTTCTTTTCATGTTAACACATAGATTTCTAAAACAATAATTTAAAATTTTTGTATAATAGTCTGCTGGGTTGATAAAAATTATGATTCTACCTATTATTCAGACAGTTTAGTTTGTTTTAAACTTTTTCACAAGGATCATAAATTACTATAAACACTTTAGTAAATATATAGCTTTTTACTTTTTAAGCTATTTCTTTAAATTTTAAACATGGAGGTGGTTGGTGTTAAGTGCTGTTGAGTCACAGGCGGCTCATAGAGCCTATGAAAGAGAATTCTCAACGCTTGGGTGCCTTTCATCTTCTCTCCAGGTTCTTAGGGTTTCCGGAGGCAAGCTATTATGGAAGTGGATGCCACTCCTGCTTCCAAACACATAGAGGCAGGAATGCCAATTTAATAATAGTTTGAAAATGTCTAATTCCTACAGTAGTGTTAAACTCTGTAATCTCTTTCCCTTTTAAAGCTAATGACTGCAATGTACGGGAATGGGGAAGAGTATGAGTAGAGCCCAAACCATAAGCTGACCATTATGAGTGCTGTAAATGAGTATTGGGTATTTTTTTTAAAAATGTATTTAGCTTGTTTGATTTATTAGATAATAAAAGACAGTTACTACAGTATTTTTTCTAGCATTTCCTGAGATTTCTCCTTTTCATCTTGAGTTCTCTGAGAAATAAAAATTCTCCAAGTTCTATCAAGTATACCTTTTCTATTCTAAAATCATGGTACTTAAAGTATGGCCCTTGGAATAGTATGGTCATCATCACCACTTGTGTCTTTATTAACATTTTACTTTTTTCTCCTGATTTAAAAAAAAAAATCAAAGTACTTCATAAAAGATACTTAAACAGTCAATAAAATTATTTAACTTTCTTACTTACCAATGAAAATTAAAAATGAGAAAAAAAAATGAAAAGACATGTCAAGTACAGAGAAAGATAACATGGCATCTGGAACTCCAATTATGGTAGATAAAATAGGCAAACTGATAAAACTACTGTGAAAACCAATTTGACAGCGTCTGTTAAACCTAATAATATATATGTATATATACATATATGTGTGTGTGTGTGTATGTATACATAAATATAAAAATATATTCACACACATACCTCCCCTAATATAACCTATAAATTAATTTCTGATATATATATCTCCTACAGTAATACAAATAAGAATGTGTTCTTATGTACAAAAAGGTATGAACAAAAATGTTTAAAGTAACATTAAAAATTACCCCCAAACAGGAACCAAACCAAAATGTCCATTGTTGATATGTGCTGTCGAGTTGCTTGCAACTCATAGCGACCCTATGTACAAGAGCCCTAAACCCTGCTCTATCCTGTGCCAACTGTACCATCTCTGACACACTTAACTCTCACCACTCCAATCACAGAATCGATCCATCTCATCGAGTGTCTTCCTCTCTTGCGCTGCCCCTATACTCTCCCAAACATGATGTCCCTCTCCAAGGACCAGTCCCTCCTTGCAACACGGCCAAAGTATGTCAGATGAAGCTTCAGAATCCTTGACTCCAAGGAGCATCCTGGCTTCAACCTCTCCGGGACAAACCTATTTGTTCTCCTAGCAGTCCATGGTATATTCAACACTCTTCTCCAGCACCATTGCTCAAAGGCATCAATTTCTCTATCATTCCTATTCACTGTCCAACTCTCTGATGCATAGCACACAATTGTCAAGACAACAGCCTGGATAAGGCGCACATTAGTCTCCAGCCTGACACCGTTGTTCTTCAGTACTTCAGTTCCCGGACAGCTGACTTTGCAAATGCAATTTGTCTCTTGATTTCCTGGCTGCTGGTACGAAGAGTGTTGACTATGGAGCCAAGCAAACAAACTGTTAACTATCTCAATCTCTTCACCATCCATACTGATGCTGCCAAGTGGTCCAGTGGTGAGAATCTTTGTTTTCGGTAATAGAATGAAAAAAATGAATTACACTATATTTGCACAATATTATATTATTGTAGCTATGAGGCAACAAGTTACTGCTACATGCAGCATCAGCAATGCATCACAAACAATACTGGCTGAAAAGAAGCCAAAAATTTTCTCCCTCCACCAACGAGCAAATTTTGATGACATAAGTTTAAAAACAAAACACAATTAATTTATGCTATTCTAGGTCAGTGTGAGTCTACCTTTTTTTTTTTAGTATATATGCAGAGTGTAACTTGGAGAGGGTATAAGAAGTGTTTCTGAGACACTGGTAAGAAATGTCCTCAATAATGACATGTTACACAGGTAACAATAACTTCATGAAAATTAATCAAACTGTCCCCATAAGAGTCAAAGATCTGTGTACTTCTCCATATGTACTACTTCACTAAGAAGATTACTTATAAAAAAGTTAATTACTGAAGTACCAGAAAACAAAGTATATTTCCTTTTATTCTTTTTCCTATGCATGCACAGATGCTTATTTATTATGTGGAAACAATATAAATATGTAAGGTTTTTAATAATATTGCCTCTGGAAACTCTATGAACCTTGAGAAAAGATTAAAGTCATGCACGCAAGTGTCATTCATATTGTCACTACGAGTTGCCTATGACTCGACAGCACTTAACAACAACACAACATTAAAATGAGCATTCTGATATATACAGTTTTATTTCTGGTTACTTCCTTAGTATAAATTCCTTGTAAAAGAATTGTTGTTGAGTTCTGAGAAGTCAGTTCCCATTCCTAGTGACTTTTCTTGGTAGGACAGAACTGTCATAGGGTTTTCAATAGTGTGTTGTGCTGTTAATGAAAAGACCCAATGTCTCCAGTAGTCTGAATCCACCAGATGCTCTGTGGGAGAAAGATAGGCAGGCAGTCTCCTACTGTTAAGATTTTATCTTAGAAACCTGACAGGGTAACTAGGAGTTAGGTTCAACTCCACTGTAGTACTGTAGTAGTAGTGAGTGAGTGAATCTTTACAGAAGACTGTTGTACTTTTCTTCAATAGAGTGGCTGTGGGTTTGAACTGCCAACTTCTTGTTTGGCAGTCAATTATGTAACCTCAGAGCCGTCAGGGTTCCTAGAGAAGGAATTCTCTCCCTCCTGTTGTCACTGAGTTGGAACTGATCCACAGCTGCCCTTCCAGTATGTTTCTGGGGGGCTGTACATCACAAAGGTGGCGATTGCCTATCTTTCTCCAATGGATTTGAACCAACAGAGAAGCAGAGCCTCTGGGCTGGTAGAGTAACTTCCTATGGACTATGTCACCAGAGCTCCCTGGAAAGGAAATTAGTAAAGGAAAAGGACTTTTCCAGAAAAGTCGTACTAATATCTATACTCCAGTAGCAATATGTTAAGCCATTTTACAGAACTCTTTCCATAGCTAAATTCTCCTTTATAAGAAAAGTTTTCCATGGAAATAGATATACAAATTATCATATATTAGTCCTTCTTGTTGTTGTTAGGTACTGTTGACTAAAACTGTGACTAATAATAACACTAATCACAACAAAATAACAGATGTGAACGTTGCTTTATCTTTTGCCAGTGTCATCATCTCTGAAACTTGAGCCCACTAATCTAGTGAATGTCAATCCATCTTGCTGAGGGTCTTCCTCTCCTACACTGACCCTTCACCTTTCCAGTTTTATCTTTTCCAAAGGGATGGTAAATATTCAAAAAATGTTTATCTGTCTTTTGAGCACTACTGTCATATCCTTTTGTCCAGTTTTTTTAATGGAGAGTTAGTTTCTAATTGATCCATTAGATATTTACATTCTAAGGCCATACATGGCACAAATAAATAATATAGTCTTCAAAATTTCAATTTTGTTTGATGAATATTTATTTAAAAATCTAACCAAGTTTCATTTTCTCAACAAAGTCTATCTTGTCTAAGTATCAAAGAATACCAACACTTTTAATCTTGACACAATGAAAAAGGCTTATACAGTACTAAGAGCTTTGTATAACTGCTTTTATGATATTTTAAGATGAACAAAAGGATGAAATAATGTAGAGGGAAATCTATTATGCTTGATGAAATTTCTGAGGTGTTTCACAAAACAGAAAGCTATAAAAATCGATGAAATTCCTATAAAAAGCACACATTTTGTGCAAGACTGTATGTTATGATTTTATATAACATCATGAGGTACACTTTCTTTTAGTCTCTGTTGAAGTAATTTTACTAGTGTCCCTCCTCACACTTCCCTTACCCTTAAGCTTTTAAAAAATAGTTTAAATTCTGCATAGGTTTCTATTTCCAGTTTTTTTTCAGGCTATGATTATATAGGTTTTTCTTTCTTGGAGTGCCATTGTACTTTAATAAGTTCTGAAAAATCAATTACTTCATTGTTTCCTCTGCTAGTAACAGAGTAAATCATCAGTTTCTTTGGTGCCCTTTAGAATAAGGGATTACCAAATTCACGCCAAGGAAAAGTATCCTATGACATCAATTCCATTCTTCTCACTTCTCTTTCTGTAAGTACTTAATTTTTCATAGATCCTGTGAGTTTACATGCATGCAGCTGTACATCTTTCTTGACATTCAGTTTTATTCCACATATTTCCTAAAGGTTTGCTTCTATGGAAGTTTGTCCCTCTATTTTTATAGGTCTTGCTCTAATCTCACAGGATTATGCTCAGTTTATTTCTTATATTCTAAACTTTAGAATAGAGATAATGTGAACTACAAGTAATATTTGACTCACCCTTCTCATTATCTTCTATTGTATAAACTGGCCACTATTAGTCATGCATTTTATGTGATGACCTCCATTATATCCAACTTTAGAATTTAACTACTATTTTTCTGTCTCCTTTTAGTTTCCAAATAAAATCTTCTTGATCTGATCAAATTACTAGGTGAACAAATTCTTTCATGTTCTATGAAACAATGCAGAGACTCAACAGCTTTTGATTACTGTTCAAACACAAATATTCTAAAAAACTGATAGTGTTCAGTAACCAGTTAAATGCTTCATACTGTTTCTTTTATCAAGTTTCAATCAGATTTGAAAATAATCTGTAGTCAAGGTATAACAATGTTATAAAACAAAATAAAAATTCTTAATTTCTTCTTAAAATCTATATCTCTCAACTGATAAAAACATTTGCTAATCCTAACTATACCTCTGACATATGTCAGCAATCTCAAATGAATTCTATGGCATTAAGAATCTGTAAAAAAGGTATTTTTAGTAATGGGAATATAGTAATCTGTACAGAATTCTAAAAAGGCAAATGTAAAAATAACTGTGCCTAATAAAAGTAGTTTTACACAGAATACAGTGTCTTTAATCTAATGTTTCTGTTGTGTACTGCTAAGTCACAACTGACTAAACTGACCCTCCAATGGGTTTTCAGATGCAGTACTTTGTAGTGGAGGAGCCATCTTTCTCCAGATGAGCAGCTGGTGGATTGGAACCACTTTGGGCAAAGTAAGTAGCTCCTCACCGCTAGGCCACCAGACCTCCCTTTTAATCTAACACAAGTCTTTAATCCTAGAAGTTTAAATTAAAAGCCAAATACCAATACTTAGATTAAAATTTCAGTATAAAATGAGCGTAAATAAAGAAAAACATCGTCTGTGAAACTTATTTTCACTTAGATCACAAAATGTAAGGTGTGATATTTTAAAAGATTTATAAAGGACTGTTTTTACAATATTTAATAAGCAAAATGGCAAGAATCATCCAGAAAAAAAAACTGAGCTTAAAAGATGACTGTGTGATTATCACCTAAAAAAATAATTTTTATTATTTCACTAAAAATACTGGTTACATTTCTCATTTGAACATTCAATTTAATTTTGTATAATGGCTTTTGATTAATCCATTTACTCTAAAATTTATTGAATGCTTCTATTTAAAGATAGACATTTCCCCCGGTAAATAGACTGCTGCTGGAACTCAAGGCCCTTACCTCCTCTTGTCTGATATTTAGTATCTACTGTGTTTTCGATTTGTCCATCAATTATAGCAATGCTTTACTAAGAACTATGGTGATTTTTACCTAGTTCAAGAAAAAGAAGAGTGGACAAAAAACTGAAAGGAAGTCTACTTCCCATGATTTTAGTAAGAAGGGCAGTAATTACTATTTTATTGTAAAAATAAAACATAGGCTTTTCCTGTGAGTGGCTTCAGGTAATCGGCCAACATGGTTCGCTACTCGCTTGACCCGGAAAACCCCACAAAATCATGCAAATCAAGAGGCTCAAATCTCCAGGTCCATTTTAAGAACACCCGAGAAACTGCCCAGGCCATCAAGGGTATGCATATCCGGAAAGCCACCAAGTATCTGAAAGATGTAACTTTGCACAAGCAGTGTGTGCCCTTCCGACGATACAACGGTGGAGTTGGTAGATGTGCCCAGGCCAAACAGTGGGGTTGGACACAGGGTCGGTGGCCCAAAAAGAGTGCTGAGTTTTTGCTGCATATGCTTAAAAACGCCGAAAGTAATGCTGAACTTAAGGGTTTAGATGTTGATTCTCTGGTCATTGAGCATATCCAGGTGAACAAAGCTCCCAAGATGCGCCGCCGCACATACAGAGCTCATGGTCGGATTAACCCCTACATGAGCTCCCCCTGCCATATTGAGATGATCCTTACTGAAAAGGAACAGATTGTTCCTAAACCAGAAGAGGAGGTTGCCCAGAAGAAAAAGATCTCCCAGAAGAAACTGAAGAAACAAAAACTTATGGCTCGAGAATAAATAAATCATTAAATAAAATTAAAACTTAAAAAAAAATAAATAAAATAAAACATAGTATTTTCCAATTTAACATTTTCCATGTGTATAGATAGTGCCATTATAAAAAACTGTCTAAAAAATCTTTATATTAAAAATAGCCATAAAAATTATAAAAAGGAACATGTAATTATGAGCAGTTTTTCATGTGACATGTGAAAAATGGAATACAGGGAAAACAAAACGTGAATATTACAGGGGGAAAAAAATCCCAAGCATGTTATTAATATGAAAATCCTAAAAGCAATGAAAATTATACACCTCCTCATTACAGGAGAGTACTACCATGAATTTAAAGATGTATCTGAAAAATGTAGGTCTGTAGATGGAGGTTAAAAAACAACTTGGGAGTATTTTGATCACTTACTCAGGCCTTTTGATCCCATGTCGTCAGGGATCTCCTGTAGAAAGTAGTCCCCAGAGAGCAAGCAATAAAAAGATAATCAAAGAAAATAGTTGTCAGTAATGTATAAAATTGTTGCTACAATAAGAGACAGTTCCAAGACCATTACAGGTGCACATGTTCTTTCAGAATATTTTTGAAGATTTCTTAAAGTTTGAAAAGAGTTAACAATGAAAAGCGCTGGTTTTATCTTGAAGGCTGATTAGGGTGGACAGAGACTATTTTTTGCTGTTTCAGAAGTAAATTCAGATTGTCTACATATAATGAAAAAAACTCATGTGGAAATAAAGACCAGATAACTTAAAAGTACTTTAAATCCTAAATTGGTAGAACTAGTTAAGACTGACATATAAACTATGCCTTTTAAGTTATCTCCTGAACAAGATAATCGGTAAGAAACCTGCTGCAGCTCTTGAAACTGTCTCCATGGTAACAACCAACTGCAGGGCAGTGGGTCCCTTTACATTTATTTTCAGTTGACCACTGGATCCACATACTTACGGTCAGCATCACTTGTTTCCTGCTCACTCTGGTCCTTGTTCTTGTAGAAGGGAAATTTTCGGGAAAAGAGGTTCTTTTTACGCTTGTCATTGAATGACTGCTGAAGAAGAGAAGGAGGGGCAAAACAAAGGGATGTCTACTGTCTGTGTGTACAAAGGCTCAACCTAGTAGCTCTGTGGAAGCTGACTCCTGTGACCACCGTGTGCAGTTCATATGGCAATTTAATTTATAAAGTATTTTGACTTTAATTTAGAAAATACTTCTGAATTCACTCAACTTGTCTAATTGTAACATTTTACAGGTTAAGACTGATATTTTAATAAGTTTAATTTAGTTAGATCTAAAAATAAGAATAAAGTGCTACTTGACAAAATGGGCAAAAGTAAGATTAGTACAAATCAAGTGATATCTATTTCTATTAATCCATATTTTTCTAGACAAATATCTAAGTAAAAGGCACTCCATGAGAAAAATTGTTTTAAACATTGCTCCAAACGCTCAACTTTTTTGTGTGCATTTGGTAATAATCTTGATTTTCATTTGGTTTTAACAAATTTGTTTCTTTGTGTGTGTGCATCTGATTACAATGAATCAACCAAAAAAAGCCATCATTAAATGAAATTAAAAATAACCACAAGAAAACAGTGTTGAATATTTAAAACCAGTAATTTTTTTTAAATAAAAAGTAACTAAGTAGCATAAACCAGAAAATGGGAAGAAAACTAGTAAGCCAATACAGCATATAGAATCCAATTCAATCCTACAGAAGTAAAGAAATAAGAGTCAGAATGGTCTTTGCCAACTTGGAGGCTATTATGCATATGAGGTATGTGGTTTCATGGGCAGTCTGCAGAGAGTTGAGCTGCCAAGCCCAAAGCTGTACTTTTCTGGTTGTCCGAATCTACCATCTGCTCTAGGCAAAAGGTAGGCAGTCTATCACCTTGGAATCTTGAGGAAGGGTTAGCTTCAGTGGTGGTGGTGGCTGTTAGGTGCCACTGAGCTGATCATGATTCTCAGTAACTATCTCCGAACACTTAAGCCCACTGTGATAGTTAATGGATCAATTCATCTCACTGAGGGTCTTCCTCTGTTTTGCAGACCCTCCAATTTTCCAAGACTGATGTCCCTTTCCAAGGTGAATGGATATATATGATCTACAGCCAGTGGTACTATATCCCATATAGAAAATAAAGTTGTATGTCTACAGAAGCACAAAGACCTATTCTAAAAATTCACATAAATGCTTACAAGAACTGAGCAGTTGATTTGATTCTCATTTTTATACAGATATTGGAAACAAGGTTCCCCCCCCTCCTGCCCCTTTCAGAAATGTGTTATTTGTGTAGTCATAAATTAAGAGCAGGGAACATAAAAGATGAAGCTAAGTTTTCTAACTTTTGTCACAGACATTCATGTTTTGAATGAAATGGCTTTACCTACCAGTGACACTGGGAATTATTATTTTTTTTTTCTGAAGAGGGAAAAATATTTGGCAGAAATTCTGCTCTGATTTTTTCCTGGGTTTATTCATATCTTAAGCTGTTTTTACTATTTTGAAGCATATTGACAGTTTATTGGTACCCCATATTGTTAAGCATGTAATCCCAGTTGATTCATGTGCTGAACGAATTGAAATAAACTTTTAGCTCAAATTTAAGGTTTTTAAATATTCTTACAGGCTTTACAAAATAAAAGTTAAGCCTCTATTTACTTTTTAATATCAGTAATCAGGGTTGATAAACTCACTAATCATAAATAATAATATATATTGGCTTCAATCTTAAATTTCCAAGACTAAGTAAGCAATGGTGTCTCTCTGGAGACTAAGGTGCGCCTGATACAGGCCATGGTCTTTGCAATCGCTTGTTATGCATCAGAGAGTTGGACAATGACTAGGGAGGACAGAAGAAGAGTTGATGCCTTTGAGCTCTGGTGCTGGAGAAGAGTACTGAATGTACCAGGGACTGCCAGGAAAACAAACAGATTTATCCTGGAGAGGATTAAACCAAGCTACTCCTTGGAGGCAAAGATTCTGGGGCTTCGTCTGACATACTTTGGACATGTTGCCAGGAGGGATGGGTCCTTGGAGAGGGACATCATGCTTGGGAGGGTGGAGGGACGGTGCAGGAAGGGAAGACCCTCTATGAGATGGACTGATTCGGTGACTGGGGTAATCGGGATGGGTGTGTCAGAGGCAGTGCGGTTGGCGTAGGATAGAGCAGGGTTTAAGGGTTGTGCATAGGGTCGCTATGAGTCGCAAACGACTCGACGGCACATAACAACAACAACAACAGGTAAGTAAATTCTCTAAACCGTAGTTACAAATTCAATTGATGAGAAAAAATTACTGGGAAGAAATATGGATTTATGGGTATTGTATACATTGTCAAGTAGCATTATTTTACTAAAAATCCTTACTTGCATCCAAAGAGAAAAAAGAAATTAAAGTTCCATTATAAAAAAAAAAAAATACTGTGATCTCTTTTAGAAGGGAACAACTTTTTCATTCAAGATGATTAATGGCTTTTTACTTTAGTGATGAATTTCACTGTCTGATAAAATAGATGATTTTTTGGATATGAGATTATTTACCCCTCATACTGCATATACAGTGGTCAGAGTCAGTTTCACAGTACACAACAAAAGAAATATGAAGTTTAAAATGTTTTGAGTCTTGCTATCTTTGATGTTAGCTAGAATGAAATATTGTATAAAGATATCATAAAAATAGAAAGAATTGTTAGTTAAGAAATGTATCAATGGTATTATATTTAACATCCTTCAGGTGGAGTATTTATTAAAAGTGACAATAGCACGAACAAAACAAAAATGGAAAACAAAACTGAAGAGACGTGCAACCTCCAGTTTATTAAAAAAAGAAACCCACCAAAACCCCACAAAACTAAAAATGTCTACTTAATTACTTCCTGTTAAGATGCTGTATGTAAAGCAAGTCAGGGATTTAGTGTAACAAATACACTAGTAGCACAAATTAATGATACAAATATTAACTATATAAATATGTAACTTTCATATGTAGCATGTCAACATAATGGTTAAAAATTAATAAAAAGCTGAAATGTTGCAAATATGTAGCAGAAAATGGGTAAACAAACCACCATGTAAGGAAAGGAAAAGGAGAATTTAGTATGTGAAACAGTACTTCAGAAAGAAATGCAGTCCTGTATCAATGGCAAGCGTATTTTTACCCCAGGTAGTATCATGCATACTTTTGGTGCTGTGTTAGAACACACAGTGACTGTATATAAAGTTGGTTACAGTCAACAAAGAGGAGCAAGATTTAAATAAGTCGTTAATTCAGTTAACTTCTTAAGTATTAAAGTTATAACATGCAGCCTCATTTTCCATTCATTGACAACCACATTTCACTCAATTACATTTGACACATACAACAAGCTTTAAAAGCACACATTTTAAAAGTACGTATTCCAAATCCTATGCACTTACTTGGAGTATTTCCTCCAATAAGAGTTTCTATTTTAAATGTTACAGATCACAGTACATAATGTTGTCTTCTAAAAGTTATAGTTCATTTTGGAGGAATTTTAATCTCTAATGTATCTGAATGCATTATATAAATGCATTGCTTTAATTTAATTTATATGACCAAGGACCATATATTTTTATCTTCTAGAATCTAAGGCTTCAGTTTGAATATTCAGTGATATAAAAAAATGTACAAAAGCATATTTATTTGCTGAGTTAAATTTTGACATTCATTTGAAACAGGGTTTAATGGCATATAAAAATAAAATTTAAAACCATTTGCATAGTGTTTCAAAACTAGGTGAATTCATGTGTCCAGGTCCTTATTTTATGTTTACTTCTAGACTATTCTATGGTAGTTAAGTTTTGGATTATTAACTAATACATATAATAAAGGAGGAAATCAGTAATATCTCTGCCATTTACTGAAACATTTATTTTTTTTTAGATCCAAGCACAAGACTGAAAGTAAATGAAAACAGATTATCTGTTTAACATCTGTAAAAAAGCTTTCTGACCTATTTCTTGACCATTATACACCTGTTTTTCTCATGTGTCCTTTTAACTCTACTTAAATAGAAATAAAAATTCATGCTGACTCAAGCATCAAAAACTGAATTATTATGTAATAACAAGTTATATCAAGAATAAAGTGGGAAAAGACCTAACAAAAAAAAGTCATGAATTCAATCTGTAAACATGTGAGGTAGTAATATTTTTGTGCATATTTTCTCAAGATTTATTACATGATCAATTATTATGATTATTAAATGGAGACACATATAATTGAACATCCAAATAAAAGCTTTATTTATAAAAATAACCTTGACCAAGAGTATGTAGCTAAGAATATATCAAATAATAGTTGTGATCACTTGGAAAGGTCTTTGAAATGGGTGTTTTAAATTAATGAAAATATTTAATATCTACTACTGCAAAGCACCAGGACAAGGGGTGATTATAGTTAATTTATCAAGTCTTTCTCCTTTTAATAATAAAACACAACCAAAGATTATGAAAAGGCCTATTGTGCCCAACTATTAGTTGCCAAAGAGAAAAGATTTCATATACTCACCCCTTTATCTCTTGTTTTAGAATTGAATTTTACTGTTTTTAATCGGGCTCGTTCTTTCTTCTCAACCCTGTCAAAGTACAGAATAGAATTTTTTTTAAGTTATATTGAAAATTATACAAGTGTTCAGGTCTTTTGTTCATAGGGTCGCTATGAGTTGTCTACGACTCAATGGCACTTAACAGTAACAACAACACAGGGAGAGCACAGTTGGCCTAGCGGACAGAAAGGGATGTTACCAAGCCAAGAGGTGGGTGATTTTAATCTGCGGCTCTCAGGTCTGGTTTTACTTATTTCTGGTCCAACATTCTTCTAAGTAGTATAGCACTGATACTGATCTGTCCATTTGCTGTGCAAAGGTAACTTGTGGTTGCTGTGATGCTGAACACTGTGACACTGATGTGTCAAATGCGATAATGGTTGCCCATGCTGGACAGTGTTTGGTGGAGCTTCCTGATTATAACAATCAACATGGGGGTAGTTGAGACAGACACCTGCTATATTTTAGACATGCCAGCACCTCCCCCGCACTCCTGCACCTATTTCCACCAATCACTGGTGGTATACACTTTATTCACAGTTATGGTACCAAGAGTGGGGCTTATTAGGGATGTAAGTTGGAGAATGGGGGTGGTAAAGAACATCACCCAATTTAAGTCTAGGGTTTAGCTCAGCAGTGTTAAGCCAGATTAACAGAAAACTAACTTCTCAATTAGTAAAAGTCTCAGTTCAGTTTAGTAGCACAAATAAGAAAACTCTCATTTCCTCAGTCATCCAGCAAGGTTGCCACAAAGCAGTTATAAGTCAGCTTCTCCTACCAACATCTGGCAAGAACAGCAAAACTGTGGCCTTTATATAAGGGCTCCTCTGATTGCACCCTGCCACAGTTTCTCCACAGTAATGTCACAGGCTTCCTACAACCATCACCACAATCTTGCTCCAGTCTCCCTCAAATCTTGCTGTTCAGTAGGGGAAGTACTCTATTATTCTAGTTTCAAAGCTACTGATGATTTGCAATACCATGTGCCTGCAGTTAAGGTAGCTGGAGACTAGAGGGGGCTAATGTAATGGCTATTTAAGCCAACTTTTAAGCTAAGCCCACAGAGCAAGCTGTGGATTTTCTAGAAATTATTTCTCATCATCTGAAGGATCAGCCTTCCCCTTCCTATCATCTATATTTAGGGAAATCTGTAAGCCAGCTGCTTCATCCCTTATATCTTAATCCTCTCATTTAGATAGCCAATTTTTTATTTGCCCAGTCCTAACAAACTCTGAGGAAATAGGTATGTCTTTTTTTTCTGAAGCATCTTCTATTACAGTTAAATCTGGATCTATAAACAAATGTCCAGTCCAGAGAAAATCCAAAACAATCAACACTAGCTCACAGAAAGAAAATCTTCTCTTCATCTAGTTAGGTTCTGGTATCGTGGCTAGGTCCAAACAAGCATCAGCTGCAAACTCGAGATATACTCAAAGTATGAGTCATCATTTGAGCTTAGCAATACCTCAGACTTTTAAAAAGTACCAATCTAGCATGAGGCAAACAAAACTATATATACTAAAAATTAAGCCTGAGAGAGAAAGTGAATGTGGCAAAATGCTAACAACTGCAAAAAGCAGGTGAGGGATATTGTGGGTGGTATAGTTCTTGTCTATTTTTTTAAGAACTATTTTTATGTAGCCTGCTTAGCTGTGTGTATATATACATAATATAAAATAACAACTAGTTTTATGGTTAAATTATTGTATATAGAAAAGTAATTTTCAAGTATCTTTGAGGGAACAACAAATAACGCTGACATCTCTGAAATGGAAAATGTGCCTTAGAACAGGGTTAAGTAGAAGTATATGTAGCTTTTAAAGTGTCTGTGTGGCTCACATGGTTAACATTCTTGGCTGCTAAATACTAGGATGCTTAAATCCAACCAGAGGTACTTTGGAAGACAGGAATGTTATCTAAATGAAAAATATATCAGCCACTGAAAACTGTATGAATCAGTCCTACACTGACACACATATGAGGTACTATGAATTAGAACTGATACTATAGTAATAGGTTTGTTTTTAAGCCAATAATCTTTGTAATTCCTACAACATGACTCATTAAGCCTATGCATAAGAGATGCCTGTGGCCCATCAAGAGGATGGGGAGCTTGCAAATAAGGTGTATGTTGGCACCCTGTGGGGAAATGTGACCGTATGGATAAAGTATACAGAAGCTGAATGAAAGGGTTAGTTTACTATTCCATTAGATTTAAAATGAGACATCTCAAAGGCACATCAGAGACTACTAGCACCAAGGAGACATAAGAAGAATGTGTCCTTTGGAGGGCTGCCTGCAAGGAAAACCATGACACTGTAGATGGTAAAATAATTATAGCAGAATCATAGAACCAAGAAACTGGTGCGAGATGATGCAGTGGGCTTACCAGCTCATAGAACTATCAGGTTTAAGGTTACTGGTGGAGTGGGACAGACACTTAATGGCAGAGGCCAGGATTGCCAAAAGAGGTGTGAGGAGCGCAAGGACTATAGGGCTCAGGCCTGTCTTTGGGTGAAGCTGAGAGGACCCTGTCTGGACCGAAGAAGTGTATACGTAACTTTGTCCTGATCTTGAATTGTAACCCATTACTTCCCCAATAAACTGACTATATAAAATAGTCTATGAGTTCTGTGTGGTCACTATAATGCATTACTGTAGTACAGGAATAAAAAGTAACAAGGGAGGGATGTCTGGTATCAGAACTGCTGAAAAGGTTAGAGGGAAACAATAATCTCCATTTCATAGTAATCAGCCTTGACGCAGATGATTTTTATTTTGATTCCCTCTGGTGAAGTTAGATAAGGTGGCCTACTGCAGCTCATGTCATCCCATTTTGACATACATAATAGTATTTCAACCTAATAACTATTTTTACACATAATAAAAACAAGAACAAAAAAACAACAAAATAAAAACTATAAAATGCCTTTGGCTGGCAAGCTCTGGTGGCCTAGTAGCAAGAAGCTGCAACTACAGTCTCAGAGGTGCATGGTTCAAATCCACCAGATGCTCTGCTGGAGAAGGAGGAACAATCTCCTGTACCAGTCAGATCTGATCTGACGGTACACACAAAAAATAATGAAATAAAATAAATTATTAAAAAAATGCCCTTGGCTACAACTGTTGTTGTTGTTAGGTGCCGTCAAGTAGTAGACGACTCACAGAGACCCTATGAACGAAAGGCCTGAGCACTGTTCATACATAGAGTTTCCGGAGGCAAGCCATTGCGGAAGTGGATGCCGTTCCTGCTTCCAGGCTTGTTTTAGTTGGGAAGCTCCAGCAAACACTGTCCACCATGGGTAACGAATACCACGTTTGGCACATCAGTGTCCCAGTGTTTAGCATCTCAGCAACCACAAGTTACCACTGCACAGCAACGCACAGACCAGTGGCACAATAGCCTATGAATAAATACATTTAATTTTTTCTTTATTTTCTAGTTATATAGTTTCACTATGGGTTCTTAGCATTTATGGATTTTTTAAAATTAAAAAAGAAGAAATGAAATAAAACTCACAACATGGATTTTTTTTAATGTGCAGTCAAGTTTCTCTTTTAGCATTTATTAATTTAAAAGTGATTTTCCCTACCTCACTATTTTAGAATAATTGTGAGGGTTCATGAAATGAAATTTTTAATTTTGCTTAAGCACTTGCTAAGTGTACCACAAACTTAGCATTTAATGAACTTACATTTACAACTTAATGTGACTTTTTTCCTAATCATTATCTTCAATAGTCAACAAAGTATTTTTTATAAATACTATTATTTTTAAATAAAATTATAATTTTATATTGGTTTACTTACAAAGCTGATATACACTGTTTTTCACATTGGATCTTTCCCATTTCCTTTACCTTCCCCTCCCTCTCCCTCCACTCATCAGATTGTGCGACCCTATGGTCAACCTCCCCCCAGCCCATCCTCAATAACTACTATTCTTGAAAGATAAGAATTGTAGAAATTACTTCTTGTGTTATTATTAAAAGTAAACAGATCTAATAGAGAAAATTCTATTCAAAGAAATATAAGTTTTAAATACATTTAAGAATTAAAAGGTATAACTGTTATATTGTACTTTAAGGTAGAAAAATGATACTGATAATGAATTAATGAAGAAAAGTAAAAAACACCATTAGTTCTCAAGTGTTACAGATACAAACCTTTACAAGGTATGATGTATTAGAGGATGATACTCAAGATGTATACTCAAGATCTAGTCTACTGACTAAATAAGGAATAAAGAAGTTATTTTTAAATTTAAAGCCAAATACGCTCTATTTCAGAACAAGTTCTATCGAAGGCTGCATTGTTGAAAGAGGATGTACTAGAAAACATGTCAAATATTTAGATTTTGCCAACAGTTGAAACTATAAAATTTGGTTGTTGTTGCTGTCAGGTACTTTTGTATTGGCTCCCAACAACCATGGTGACCGTATACAAAGTGGAAGGAAATGCTGTCTGGTCCTCCACCATCCACACTAACTCATTTCAGACTGAATGGCTGTCAACCACAGGACTGACTACTGAAGTGACTGATTTACCCAAGCAGAATACCAGGCTTTTCTCTGACAGATTTTGGTAATACTTTGTAGTACTATTCCTTCAACTTCTACAAGTAAGTATACATGTGTGTGCACATACTCACAAATCAAACTCGTTGTCAGAGCATAGATTCTGGTTTTACAAAAACAGACTATCATATCTTTTTCCTTGGAGGCTGTTCAAACTGCTTGCTGACTTTACATTAGAGTAGTGTTAATTTCTACTAAAGTTCAAAGAAGGCCAACCATACAATCAAAAGTCTTGGCACCTAATAGCTTTACAATGCATTCAGATACACCAATGTATTATGAAGTAGGTGCAGGTCCAAGCCAACGTGTTCTTCTGTTACACATAATCTGAGGCTCAGCTGAATGCAACTCAATGGAAACTAATAACAACATTCGATACTTTTAATCTTTTCTCTCGTCAATGTTGTTGTGTTGTTGTTATATGTTGAGTGGCTTGTGACTCGTAGCGACCCTATGTACAACAGCTCTGTCCTGTGCCAATCGCACCATCTCTGACACACCCATTCCAATTACCCCAGTCACTGAATCAATCCACCTCATAGAGTTTTCCCCTTCTGTGCCATCCCTCCACCCTCCCAAGCATGATGTCCCTCTCCAAGGAACTCTCCCTCCTTACGACATGTCCAAAGTATGTCAGACGAAGCCTCAGAATCCTTGCCTCCAAGGAGCAGCATGGTTTAACTCTATTCAGGATGTATCTGTTTGTTTTCTTGGCAGTCCAGGGTACATTCAATACTCTTCTCCAGCACCACAGCTCAAAGTCATCAATTCTCCTTCTATCCTCCTTAGTCATTGTCCAACTCTCTGATGCATAACAAGTGATTGCAAAGACCATAGCCTGTATCAGACGCACCTTAGTCTCCAGAGTGACACCACTGCTCTTCAGTACCCTGGAGAGGTCCCTAACAGCAGACTTTCCCATTGCAATACATTTTTTGATTTCCTGGCTACTGGTGCCAAGAGTGTTGACCACGGAGCCAAGCAAGCCAAAGTTGGTAACAACCTCAATCTCTTCACCATCCATCCTGATGCTGCCAATTGGTCCAGTGGTGAGAATCTTTGCCTTCTTGACATTGGGACTCCATACTGAAGGCTGCAGTCCTTGACCCTCTGCAGCAAGCACTTCAGGTCCTCCTCAGCTTCAGCAAGCAGGGTTGTGTCATCTGCATAACACAGATTGTTAATAGATCTTCCACCAATCCTGAGGCCACACTTCTCCTCATAGAGCCCAGCCTCTTGGATAATCTGTTGCCTACAGGCTGAAAAGGTATGGAGACAGGACACATTCCTGGCGTACGCCTTTCCCAATTTTGAACCATGCAGTGTTTCCTTGCTCTGTTCTGACGACTGCCTCTTGGTCCAAGTATAGGTTTCGCATTAGAACGATCAAGTCTTCTGGGATTCCCATTCTTCTCAGAGTCAGCCACAGTTTGTTATGATCCACACAGTCAAATGCCTTTGCATAATCAATGAGACACAGATAGACATTCTTCTGGTATTCTCTGCTTCCAGCTAAGATCCACTATCTCCAATAGTATAAATAAATACAAGGCACTGACTACCTTATACTATACAATCCACTGCCATTAAGTTGATTCTGACTCATAATGATTCTTTGTTGTAGCTGTGTACCATTGAGCTGGAACCGACTTATAGCTGGTCCTTCAGTGGGTTTTCAGAGGCACTAAAGTGCATCCTCTTCCCGCAGGGCAGCTGGTGGGTTCAAAATGTGTTTGGGTTGGCAGTGCAATTCCTTACTATTAAACCACCTCGGCTCTCCTAATGATCCTATCAGACAGAATAAACTGCCCCAAGGCTGTACATCGTTATTCAAGTATTCTCCCATGGAGCAGTTGGTAGGTTTGAATGTCTAATCTTTTGGTCGGCAACCAGGTATCTTAAGCATTATGCACCAAGCTGATATAGAGGACAGTGACTTGAAATATATTAATTTTATCAGCTTTGTTGTAAGTTGTTGCAGAGTTGATCTGTCTCATGGTGAACTCAAAAGTGCAAAGTAGAACTGCTTTACAGGGCATTCAAGGCTGTGATCTTTTTGAGGAAGGACGGATCTGTCTTCCGTGGCTCCTCTGAATTTGTCTGAGCTACCAACTTTTCAGCCAGTAGTTAAGATTAACGCTATCCAAGGAGTCTTTTAGCAACCCTAAGAGCTTTAACAAAACTTCTGTTTTGGGATATAACTGATGAGTAAGCAATGTGAATGAAATTAAATGACTGTGAAACACAATATGAAAAAACAATCATAAAAGTTCCACTTTGATTCAGGATATTTAAAGAATAAGTTAGTTGCGTATGTTGCCCAACTTTCAAATGGAAAGACTATAGGAAACTAAAAACGTACCTGCGTTTACTGGGAATCACTCCAACTTCATCACTCTCACCATCTGAAGTAACCTGTCTGGCTTGCCACCATTCATCATCAGAAGCATTAATAACATGGAGAATATCTCCAAATTTGAAGTTCAGTCCTTGACTGGGAAGTCCACTGTCTTTAGTCTTGTCATAATCAAAAAGAGCTCTAGATTTAAAAGAAAAAAATTGTATAATTATTTTTATTATATAACTTGGTGTTAAGCAGATGTTGTTCAGTGTTGTCAAGTATGACCCACAGCAACCCTATGAACAACTGGCCTGAATCCTTATCCTATGCCATCCTTATCATCTCTGACACACTAGATAGCCTACTCCTGAAGTTATCATGAAAATCTATCTTGCTAAGGGTCTTCCTCTCCTTTGCTGATCTTGCCTCTTTCCAAGAAATAGCCTTGTCTACATACATGTCCAAAGAAAGAATGTTGAAGCTTCACCATCTTTGCCTATAAGGAGCACTCTGGCTGCACTTTTTTCTAAGACATAGTCTGTTCTTTTGGCAGTCCATGGGATATTCAGTACTCTTCTTCAGCATTACAACTCAATGACATCAATTGTTTTTCTGCAATCCTTACTCATTCATTGTCCAACTCCCTGATTCATAGCGGGTGACTGAGAGGACCATGCCCTAAATCAAGCACATTTTTGTCTTTAAACTGACATAATTGTTAACATTTTGGAGAGGTCTCATAACAGTGAATTTGTCCAATGCAATATTGTCTCCTAATTTTTTGAGTGCTTGAATCAAGGGTGTTGACTGTAGATCAAGCAAGATGCAATCACTGAGTTTCAATCCTCTGTCCATCTATTATAATGTTTAGCCAACACAGGGTTCTGAAAAGGCACATTATATAGACAATTATACAAAATACCACTATAGGTACAACACTGTCAAGCTCAATTTCATAAGGAAAAAGCAAAAAGTATTACTGTGTTAGTCCATTATTTCTTTCAACATTGTAAGATGGTTCAGTGGTAATTCAGTTGAACTCTAGCACACTAACATTAAGCAATTTTAGACAGCTGCTCTAAATTAACAGGTAAAAAAGACTTTAAGAGATGCGTTTTTCCCCTCTTTGTTGTGACTAGACCCTTGGGAAAACAAATTTCTTTGTGGATTTGACTCATTAATTGTAGATTTTAAGACTAGATCAACATAGTGATTATTCTGTCAGTTAATTATTCCTCCCATTTGCTCATGAAACTAGAGATAACAGTTTCTATCTAGAGTCTGTAACAATGATAACTAACTAAAGATGACTTTATCAGATATTCTAGGGGGACAATTCTCTATCAGCTTAATATTAGTTTATAAATGCTAACATTTTAAAATTTGAAAAAAAATCCTCCGTTATGTCCTATCACTTAAATGTCTAATACTTAAACAGTTAAATTTATTAAGTCCAGAGACGCTCTCCAAAGAGTATACAGGAAAAGACTTCTGGAAATTGTATTTATAACACAATTTATTCAATAATGTCTTCTAATAAGGCAATCAGATATTGTTGTTGTATACCACTGAGTTGGAACAGACTGATAGGGTTTTTAAAGGCAGTAAATCACAGGGGAGGAGAATGCCCATCTTTCTTCTGTGGAGCAGTGGTAGATTTGAACCACTGCCTTCAGGACTGCAGCACAGCTCCTTACCACTGTTGTTGTGGTTGTTATGTGCCGTTGAATCACTTGCAACTCATAGGGACCCTATGTACAACAGCCCTAAACTCTTCTCTGTCCTGTGCCAATTGCACTGTCTCCGATACACCCGTCCCTATTACCCCACTCTCTGAATCAATCCACCTCACAGAGGGTCTTCCCCTCCTGCGCTGTACCTCCACACTACCAAGCATGATGTCCCTCCCCAGGGACCGGTCCCTCCTTACAACATGTCCAAAGTATGTTCGACGAAGTCTCAGAATCATTGCCTCCAAGGAGCAGCCTGGTTTAACCCTCTCAAGGATGAATCTTGTTTGTTTTCCTAACAATCCATGGTACCCTCAATACACTTCTCCAGCACCACAGTTCAAAGGCATCAATTCTCCTTCTATCCTCCCTAGTCACTGTCCAACTCTCTGATGCATGACAAGTGATAGCAAAGACCATGGACTGTATCAGACACACCTTAGTCTCCAGAGAGACACCATTGCTCTTCAGTACTTTGGAAAGGTCCCTAATAGCAGATGTTCCCATCGCAATACGTCTTTTAATTTCCTGGCTGCTGATGCCAAGAGTGTTGACTGTGGGGCCAAGCAAACCAAAGCTGTGAACAATCTCAATCTCTTCACCATCCATCCTGATGCTGCCAATTGGCCCAGTGGTGAGAATCTTTGTCTTCTTGGCATTGAA